GTTTATCACAAGATGACAGATGTATCAGTCCTTCCATATTGAACGCAGAGACGCCAAAAATGTGAGAATCACATTTCTCAAGAAGAGAGATGGAAAATGCAGAAGCCAAGAATGGGACATTCCACGATCAAATAGTAGCAGATGAAGGATGTGTCCCCCTCCCGTGGAAAAGGGGCTACAGGAGAATAACGACGCTAGTCGTAATTGGGCCTGCCAAAGAGTATGCCCTCAAGAGGATGGTCGTGATCTGGCAGGAAAGAGATCCTGTTCTTAGCCCCCTCACTCCAACTCGATGATACTCGAAACAACAAAACTGATGTATGTGCGAGGGATGATCCCTCAGGGATCAACTAATGTCTTGGGACAGGACCGACTTCGCTATAAACTTCATCAAAATCTTGAGTCGAATGGTCACACCATCATCTCTGGCACGAAGGTCCCAGCATCTTCTTCGAGCCACTGCTTGACTACATCGCGTATTCCCGCACGAGCGCGCCTGAGGCGATAGTTCATATTCCTCATACAATAGTAGGCTTACGCAATGTTTTGATCCACTTCCTCGCTCCCTCTGTGAGTCCAGTAGTGATGAGAGGCTCCAGGGACCTAGGCATAGACCGAGTAATGGTAAGTCATATTGCTAGATGAAATCACCCAAATAGTTGGTCGTTCATAGTTATCTGACGTTACAAGCGCTAGGCGATGCCAGGGATCCACACCACCGTTGACGGAGAGGATGCGTGAAGCGTTGAGCGATAGGCCTCCATACTTTCTGTTCGTACGCTGTATATTAGCCGATATCTGACCATATCATGAGGGCGGGTTGCTCCTCGGCCTTGGACTGTAGTTCGGCTTCAACGTCAGCAAAAAGAACATTTTTCCGAGTCAGCATTCCATGAGTCCCCGCATACAACCATTCGATTCAGATAAGTAAGCTAGAGCGTGATGCCTCTACTTCTGCTGGAGTAAGTCCCAGCCTATTTCGCAAAGTTTCATATTCCACTCAAGATCACTGAGCCGCGGAGGC